CAAGACCGAAGTGTTTCAACTATCTTTTTGACGGTATTCAAGAGCTCCATATCTTTACCCATACATTCTCACACTTCCACGTTGATTATCCTGCTATTTTTAAGCTGCGGCGAGGAACATTTCGAAAACATTTATCTTTTTATCTTATTATATACGTAGGTGCAGACTTAAATATTTATTAATAAATACCCTTTCCATTTGGAAAATTTTTTTTCTTGTCTGTTCGATTATAGCTGTACTTCGTTGTTGGGATCACAGTTCTCGTTGATTATGACACCCAGATATTTATATGCGGGTACTTGTATAAGGATGTTGTTTAGAAGGAAAGTTTCTCCTCTTAGTGTCTTTGAGAAGATCAGCTTTCAAGTTCAAGTAATAAATCTATTTTACAATTATCTAATTGAGAAGTTATGCGCAATTATTAACGTCTAGTTATGTATCTGGAAAGTTTTTTAGATTCTTGTCAAAAATTTTCATTTTTTTCTAATTTTATTAGTATGGTGTGGTTAACAGCGTACCACTCCTATAAATATCGAGTGATATTCAATCCAACTCATTACAGATAGCTAATTTAGGTTAATTTTAGTTTCAAATGATGCCAATTCACTTTCACAATTTTATCGCAATTCAATAGATTTCTGAAAAATGTTGTTTTAAGGGTGTGTCCACACATTGCGCGGCATTGGAATTGTTCGAGAACATTTTAAGTCAATGACGCCGCGTAATGACTAAAAAATGACATCTCGCATATGTCGCGTAGCACTGCCGCCGAAATATTCTTTGGAATCCCTTTGGCACTTGCGCGCGGCACAATTGTGCCCTGCGAACACCGTGCAATGTGTGGACACACCCTAACTTTAAGTTCATTCTGGTTTCAAGTGACCAACAAATCAATTAATCGAGTCAACACAACACAAGTCCTACAAGTCAATGTGCCAAAATTTAGCACAACCTTTTATAATATTTTTAATAGAAAAATGTGATGACTTTTTATCCTAAAAAGGGATTATTGCGATCATTGCGTAGATTATAAGGCAGGAATTGTAAATTTAGAGAAGAACCGAGCACTGCAGGAAGCGAATCATTTTGCGTTCACTATAGTTCTGCAATTACCTTTTCCGAGTCTTCTGCCAAACATATTCGCCAGCAACATAAAACGAAATTGGCAGTAATTTCACTCTTTACAATCTAAAAACCAAATATGGAAAATTTACCCTCATAAAGAAAAGTATGGCGCCTATAAAAAGTTTTATTATGAAATTAAGATTTTAATATGGACTTGAAATCAAATGTTTCTTACCTTTATTAAGCAAAAACGCCATAACTAATTTTCGAGCATTTCTTTTCCACATTTATAGTTAATTTTTTTTCTATAATACCTGCCAAATTGTTGTAAAGTTGGCAAAATTAACAGGAAGTTTTGTTTTATCATGTTTTGAAATAAATATGTCACACTGACGTTTGAGCTTTTGTTATTCAAGTGTTTTGTTCTATTTAATTACTTTGTAGCACGTTTTTACAACAAATATGTACTTTATTAAAATCGTATTTATCTAAAAATTGATTAGTATTTTAACATCAACTATTTAGTTACTGAAAATGTTACTAAAAATCAAGAAAAAACAACATAAATTTTATAAGGGTCCTAGATAATACCAACAGAAACCCTAAAAAATTTACATTGACAAGTATTATAGAAAAAAACAAACTATACATACTTTAATTATATGGTCATAAGCAAAAATGTAGAACCTTGTCATTGTAATTAATACGATTAGACGATTTCGAACAAATACCTTGACCAAACTACGTAAATATCTAATAAAAAACGATACCGGTTTCAACTCTTCCACATCATCATCAGGAGAAACATCTTTATTATATCTTTTCCATTAAATTATTTTAATGCTATTACACGTAAGATTCAGAAGCATCGATAAATTTCGGAATTCTTTTTTAAATAATAAAATGGTGTAATAAAATAGTAAAATGGCCGTAAAATGTTAATTAAACTGAAACTAGAACTAACACTAGCACCATCACTACAACTAACACTAGTCCTAGAAATTTTCGGGTTAAGCTCGAAAACTTCGAACTTGTTTTTGAAGAAGGTTGCAACATGCCATCCGAAAAGTTTTCAAAAAAACGAACAACTTAACACGAAAGTTTCTAGTTCTAGTGTTAGTTATAGTGATGGTGCTAGTGTTAGTTCTAGTTTTAGTTTAATGAATCGTTGTTTATCTAAAATAGTTAAATTCATAAAACATTGCAATCCTCAGTTACAATTTATAATTACCCTATTGCTTCTAATTAAACTAGAAAAATGTATATTTTACCTGACCACTTAATATTGGGACAATACAAAGTACCTTCCATAAAAATGGAACAAATTAAGATAAGTGAACTGTGGAAATAACGTAAAATGAAATGTTAAATTGCCGGTTTGTTCTAAAGCCTGTAATATTGTTGCTGTTGAGTAAATCTGTATTTATCCATTAAAATGGTGCGTCGTATCTGTACAGAGTCAAAAATCCGTGAATTAGTGATTAAAAATTATTGCCACATTAAAACAATACCTGAAGAAGCAGACGAACTTAATATTCCTAAAAGCACAGCGTGGAAAGTAATTAAACATTATGGAGAAACTGGGCAAATTTTAGAAAAAAAGGGTAAAAGTTCAGGTCGTCCAAAGTTTGTTTCTGACAGAAATAAAAGAATACTTGTAAAAATCTGCAAACAAGGACGAAGAAATATTTTAAGACAAGTTACCGCTGAATGGAATAATGAAACTGGATTAAATATATCAAGGGAATGTCAATAATCAGTCACAATCAAAGTTTTGTAAGAGACCAATTGATAGATAATTGATCACTTTACACGAAAATACTGCACGTTTGACAAAATCAGCAGTGGAGTTGAAAATATTTTTAAAAAGGGCTTTTTATTGCAGATAATGTTTAATTTTAAAGAAACTTTGACCCGCTATATTTCCTTAAGGAGGCATTTGTGACTCCATGTATATTAAGACTTTTCATCTTAATTTTTGATGTATTACCTGCCCTAGAAGTCTGTCAGTCGGTTTTTTGAATCACCCTGTATAGTTGTTAGGGCTCGTAATTATAAATATTTATGAGAAATTGTTAAATGTAGTATTTATTCAATCAACTGAATCATTTAAAACGTCGATATTGCGAACATCCATCGAATTTGTACCCCAATGCTATGAAATTAGATTTTTGAGACAGTAGTTGTTTGCAAAACACTCTCCAAGTCTATTTTGCAGCCGATGGGTTGAAGGGCTAATCCAGAAAGTAAAGGCTCAACAGATTTTCGTAATATTCACCAAACTACGTAAATATCTAATAAAAAACGATACCGGTTTCTACTCTTCCACATCATTATCAGGAGAAATATCTTTATTATATCTTTTCTATTAAATTATTTTAATGCTATTACACGTAAAATGCAGAAGCATCGATAAATTTTGGACTTTTTTTTTAAATAATAAAATGGTGTAATAAAATAGTAAAATAGCCAGTGTTAATAAAACTAAATCTAGAACTAACACTAGCACCATCACTAGAACTAACACTATACCTAGAAATTTTCGGGTTAAGCTCGAAAACTTCGAACTTGTTTCTGAAGAAGTAGTGTTAGTTATAGTGATGGTGCTAGTGTTAGTTCTAGTTTTAGTTTAATGAATCATTGTTTATCCAAAATATAGTTAAATTCATAAAACATTGCAATCCACGGTTACAATTTATAGTTAATTATAAATATTTATGAGAAATTATTAAATGTAGTATTTATTCAATCAACTGAGTCATTTAAAACGCCGATATTGCGAACATCCATCGAATTTGTATCCCAATGCTATGAAATTAGATTTTTGAGACAGTAGTTGTTTGCAAAACACTCTCCAAGTCTATTTTGCAACCGATGGGTTGAAGGGCTAATCCAGAAAGTAAAGGCTCAACAGATTTTAGTACTATTCACCAAACTACGTAAATATCTAATAAAAAACGATACCGGTTTCAACTCTTCCACATCATCATCAGGAGAAACATCTTTTCCATTAAATTATTTTAATGCTATTACACGTAAGATTCAGAAGCAGTGATAAATTTCGGAATTCTTTTTTAAATAATAAAATGTTGTAATAAAATAGTAAAATGGCCAGTGTTAATTAAACTAAACTAGAACTAACACTAGCACCATCACTAGAACTAACACTAGTCCTAGAAATTTTCCAACCAATGCCATCCGAAACGTTAAACATTTTTTCAACAAAATGCACAACTTAACACGAAAGTTTCTAGTTCTAGCGATGGTGCTAGTGTTAGTTCTAGTTTAATGAATCATTGTTTATCTAAAATAGTTAAATTCATAAAACATTGCAATCCTCAGTTACAATTTATAATTAATTATAAATATTTATGAGAAATTGTTAAATGTAGTATTTATTCAATCAACTGAGTCATTTAAAACGCCCGGTTTTCCGTTAATTTATGCATTATTCCCATAAAAATTAATTCTAACATTCATTCTAACTGGAGCGAGAAACCCAAACAAAATAAACATTTAAATAGTAAGCGGCCAAACTGAAACAAAAACAAAACAAAATATAAACAAATACTAACCTTTCCGGTGGCTTTTTTATAACGTAACGTAGCCTCCCTGATCAAATCCTTCACCAAGAGGTTACCATCGCCGCAAGGGACCACAACTCGCACGTTCGCAAAACACACAGTCACCTTCATACTTAATCGAAAGTAGTCTTTTTATTGAACTTGTTTTAAAAATAAAATTAATAACGTTTTTCGGCGTTTATTCGGCGGAAAAACCGCCGACCGTTGACGCCATGCTGCTTGTAACTAGGCAACTGCCACCGAGCGAACGCAAACGGTGGTGTGTGTATGTGTCGCTTTGAACCGTTGCTATGGCTACTGCGAACACCTGCCTCGGAAGTTGGCCGCGGAAATTTGAAAAGTTCCTAACATGTTTGGTTTGTTGGGGAACGTGATCGTCGACGCGGTGAAAAGAGTTGTACGAAACGACCGGGTTCGTCGAATAAGCGAACGAAAAACGTACTCGAAACGCGTGTGCTTTCGATTTCTCGGCGAATTGCGGACTAAAAATTTTAAACGAGTTCCTATCCCCACCGCGGCGCCTACCTGACAAGGCCGTTGAGCGGTGAACGCTTGAACTATGCCAGGAATTTAACCGATCGGAGCGCCGGATCGGACAGGTAACGAAACTTCGATTCCTTTTAAACTGTTAACCCGCCAAATTCAAATAACCAATAACTTAATAATGATTTATTTTAATTTAAGTTTTAATCATATATATAAAACACCTCTTCTCAGTAGTAAATTGTTTTATTTTTTATTCAATTAAAACATTATTTCTTCGACGTTTCGAGCTTTTAATGCTCATTATCAAGAATTAGTATCTAAAATTAAATTAAAACATCAAACAAATACAAACGACATACTAAATACAACAATTTAAAATGTTTAAAATTATATTTCTATAAATAATTACGTACCATCGTAGCGCAATCTTACATTGTCAATTTTTAAGTTTAAATACTAATTCTTGATAATGAGCATTAAAAGCTCGAAACGTCGAGGAAATAATGTTTTAATTGAATAAAAAATAAAACTATTTATTATTGAGAAGAAGTGTTTTATACAGGGTGTATCTGAATGACTGCAACAAACTTCAAGGGGTGATTCTTTAGTGAATTTTAAGGGTACTTTGACATATGAACCATGGGCGACTTCGGCTCCCCTAAGGAGGTACACCTCTCCAAAACTCGCGGAAAATTTTGGTTTAATTTTTTTTTCTCAAAAACCTTAAACGCTAGGAAATTTGGGGAATTTGTTTAACTCATAGTAGGGCACGTTTTCACCCTATTTGTACTTTCAACCTATCCTTCTAAACTATTAAACGTAACCACCCTCTTTACATTTTTGCTAAAATTTTTTTATGCAGATGGTAAATACATTAAAAAAAATTTACATAGATAGATGAAAGTATCCTAAACCTTTTTTGTCTCTCCAAAATTTTTCCAAAAACGACTAATTTTTGAGAAAAAAAAATAATATCAAAAGTTGGAATGAATTTTTAATGAAAAAATCTTAGTAGGCTTTGCAATCTTTGTCAGAAATATTTTTGACGTTTAAATGTCAGTGTTTTTCTTACTATTATTATTGTTTTTCAAATTAATTTTTGAATAAAGTTCTACTGCATTTACGTTCGTTCACTTGACGTTTCAAAATTTTAAATAAAACAATTATAATAGTAAGAAAACCACTGACATTTAAACGTCAAACATATTTCTGACAAAGATTGCCAAGCCTGCTAAGATTTTTTCTATAAAAATTCATTCCAACTTTTGATTAACAACGCTACAGCTTAACAATTAGTGTTTGCTTAATTAATGTTTTTCTCAGAAACTATTAACTTTTGGAAGAACATCAGAGAGGCAAAAAAGTTTTAGAATATTTTCGTCTATCCAAATAAAATATTTCCAATTTATTTATAACCGTCGTAAAAAAGATCTAGACAAAAATTGAACGGGGGTGGTTATGTTTAGTAACTTAGAAGGGAAGATTGAAAGTACAAATAGGCTCGAAACATGCCCTATTATAAGCTAAACATATTTCCCAAATTTCAAAAAAATAAACCAAAATTTTTCGCCATTTTTGAAGGGGCGTAGCTCCGCAGGGGAGTCGAATTCGCTGATAGTTTATACAAGAAAGTACCCTTAAAATTGCCTAAAGAATTACCCCCTGAAGTTTGGGCACGTCATTCAGATACACCCTGTATATGATTGAAAAATTTGAATCTCGGTAAAACAAAAATTTCTATATTTTAAGTTTTAAGTTTTTATTAAATTTAATAATTACATTTTGGAATTTATTAAAAACTTATTTCACAATTTATTGCTTCAAAATTCTACATTCTATTATAAATTGCTTCAACAAAACCGATAAATTGTCATATATCAGTTACATATTATCTATTTAGGTTACAGCGATAGCCTAAAAAATCTATAAAACAGACTATTACTTCGAGTAAACAGTAAACTTATTTTTTAATATACCTAATTAAGCTTTTATTCTATAAATGTTTTTGGACGGATTTGATAAGGATATAATACAGGGTGTATTAAAACGAAGATAACAGAAAAATTCATTTTGGTAATTATTATGATTCGAAATACATAAAAAAAAAATATTTAACGTTTAAATTACTGATTTAAGGTCAATTATCAAGATTAAATGTCAAAACTAATGTGAAAACTGTTAATCTTTATGGTTAATTATCAATTGTCAAGGTTAATTGCCAACGTTAATGTTTAAAAAATTAATTTATTTAGGTTTGATCCTACAAACCTTGATCTTTAAAAATTATTTGGTTACAATATCACTCTATTTAAGTTTGAAATGAAGATTTTTATAAAGAAATAAAGGTTATGTGTCAAATATGATGTTAAAACTGTCATTTTTGACAGATGTCATATTTTTATTAGTTTAATTTTTGATTAACATTTAATTTTCAATATTAATGGTTTACTGTTAAACTTGAGGTTGAAAATTTGTGATTATTTAAGTTTGAAAGAAAGCTTTTGACGTTTGTCTTAATTTTAAAAGTTTTATGTATGTCAAATTTGATATTTTAAATGTAATTTGTGATAAGTATTGTATCAAACTTGGCGTTTTATTGTGAATCATTAAAATTAAATCTCAAAGATTATGTTCAAACTGTCATTCTTGACTGGAAACTGTCATATTTTTATTAGTTGTATTGTAAATATCATTTTTGACATTTAATTTTCAATATGAATCGTTTATTGTTAAATATGAGGTTGAAAATTTTTGTTTATTTAAGTTTGAAAGAAAGATTTTGACGTTTGTGTTAATTTCAAAAGTTATGTATGTCAAATTTGACATTTTAAATGTAATTTGTGATAAGTATTGTATCAAACTTGACGGTTTTTTTGTGAATCATTAGGACTAAACCTCAAAGATGATGTTCAAACTGTAATTTTTGACAGGTAAATGTCACATTTCTAAGAATGCGTACTAGAAATGTCATTATTTACATTTATTTCCAAATCTTAACACTTCATTGTCAAACTTGAGATTGGAAATGTCTCTTTAACAACGTTTGAAATAAATATTTTGACGTTTGTGTTAATTTTAAAAATTAAATGTCAAATTTGACATTTTAACAGGTAATTTGTGATAAGTATTGTATCAAACATAACTTTTTGTTGTGAACAGTTAAGATTAAACGTCAAAGATTATGTCCAACTGTCATTCTTGACTGATAGCTGTCATATTTGTATTAGTTGTATTATAAATGTCATTTTTGACATTTAATTTTCAATCATAATGGTTTACTGTTAAGCTTGAGGTTGAAAATCTCTTAACACTTCATTGTCAAACTTGAAGTTGGAAATGTCTCTTTAATAATGTTTGAAATATGTAAATATTTTGATTGAATTTATATTTGAGTAAATTTTAGTAGTTAATTAAAAGGTTTTTTTTCAATTCTCAGAGATAAAAAATTAAAACTGCATTTAACTTTAATGCTATCGATTGTTGCACTCTTTCTTAACCTTGATATCAATGGTGGATTAAAGTTTAACAAGAAAGTTTCTTTAATGATGTGGCACTTTACCTTTTTCATGTAACTTTGCTTGAAATGTACAAAGAAATGCAAAATGTATATGCTATAATTATTATAAATGTGGTACATGTTAATCTTGATAAAATAGAAACAAATTAAAAATTCCAATTAAAATGAATTTTTCTATATGGTAACTTCTATTTAGTTCATTTCGATTAAATCACCCTATTTTTTAATAATTAATTACTACTAATATTAACATTTAAATTTCTAACAAGTGCTCTTAACCGTATTTTAAAAAAGAATTGATAAAATCTTATTTTTTTTGCTAATTCTTGTGTAATCAAATCACAGTTAGTTACTACTTATAAGAATCAAACAACGAATATATAATAATGTTATAGTTGCACAACTAATTCAGATAAAAGATTAGAATAATTCATAACTTTCTTTTCGTTCGATTTTTGACTAACAGTGGGTGTTACCTGCGAAAATTAAAACTTTCTACGTCTGCCTAGGCAACTTAACGTACAATTTCAAAATATACCTTTGTGGATGATTTCATATAATTTTTTCTATAATATCCCTTTGGAAGGACATCTTTTGTAACATCCTTACATAAATATGGATCATTTCTAACAATTCGCCATGAATTAAAATCACTACAAAAAATAAAATGTTAATTTTTTCATAAATTAGATTTATTTAACATACTTTTCATCTTCTTGGATTGAAGTGGAAAGGTGCAAACCTTATTTTTGTATGAAATAGTAATAAGTCCCATTTAAATATCATTTACTTACCAAACATTGGAGATATTTTCGCCATATTTTGCAGAGAAAGTTTATTAATTTAAAATTAAAATTAAATATTGAGGTGTTTTGTGAAATTGTTTAAAATATTGCGTAACACCACCAAATGAAACCGCAGTTCCATTTTGTTCTGCAATCAAGTGGAGTATTAAATCGAGTTTTCAACAGTATATATAGTTTCCATAGTTACTTGGTTATATACAAACTATTTCCATGTATCGACTTCTTCCTTATTATTTATTTAAGTTTTTTTTTACATTTAGCTTAGTTACTTACGTATATCTTAAATTAGATTATAACAAACTATTAATATATTTATTAGGTATTGTTTAAATCTTTTGATGTTGTAGAGATTACCATGGTAAATTTTTACGAAAAACTTTTAAAAATCTATTGATATAAAAAAAGTCTTGTCATAAAGAAAATCATTGTCATTCTATCAACATGTATCCCGCTTACACAACGAATACCAATGATATTTTATACGATCCCATGGGAAGATATAATCAAGAATCTAATTTAGTATACAGAGGATCAGAAACGTCCCTACAAATTAGTGAGGTGAGTTTAAATTTTAGAAAATTGTGGTAATACTTTATTAATTATTATTTTCTATTCAGAAATCTTATCCCCCTTTATTTACATCGGAAGAGCTTGCGAAATACGCTATTTTATTATATTACTCGTTAACGTGGCACTTTTATACTTTGTTAGCTAATAATATTTTGTGCTTTTTTATTTCTTATGAAGTAAGTTAATAAAAATAATAAATAAAGCTTTTTCTATAAACACTTTTTTTTAGATATTTTTTGATCCTGATATTAATGAAGAAATTTTTGTAGTTTTACTAAAAAGTCTTTCCAACGTTCTTGTTATTGCTGATTCTCTTATTACTATTTATCAATATTGGAATAGAGTCGCTGTTCATCGAATTACCTATGAATGCATTGGTGTTGGTAAGTATTTTATGTCTAAGATTAAGAACACATTAAAGTAACCGGATAGATGATCCTTAAGAAATGAATTAAAAATTTGCTCATTAGATTAATTTATTAATCGTGTAACTCAGTAACTAGAACGAAATTAGAAAAAGGAGATGAAAGGATGCAAAGACATTAAAGGTAGAAAGAGTGAATAAAGAAGCCAAAAAGGCACTAGAAAGAAAGATCAGGTATAGAAAAAAGTAAAAAAAAAAGGTGTCAGACTAAAACTAAAAAATGACTGATTGGTAAACAGGGAGCAACCCATAAATTAGCAAAGAAATCAGAAATAAACCCGTCTTGCTGAAAAAGTGTCTTAATTCAACGAATACTGGTTGAAATAACAGCTACCCTATTTTTTGCCTCATCCTCGATAAGATATGGACTGATGATTTTTAACAAATTTGCCGAACTATTACTTTTTGACACTGATGAGGTGTATCATGCAAGTACAAATGTTAAGAAGAGTAGTACTCTTTTTCAATAGAGAGGTATCTGTTCAATTTGACTAACCTTATCGGATTTTGTTATGACCCAGGGCAATTTGGCGGTCGACTATTAGGTTCAGTAATAAAATAAACTCTTATAGAGTCTAGATAGCCATAATAATGACATAGCAAATAGTAAATTAGCGTAATACGAATAAATGTACAAGAGCTAGAGAACTAGATGTTAAAGATAAACCAGTAGCAAGATTTGCAATTTGTCAATAATAGTACTATGGTCGTTTGACCATAGTAGTAAATATACATATAAAAACATAAAAAGTAGTTAAACCAACTGATTGAGGAAAATTGTATATCTGTGTCTTTCTAAAACTAATTTATTTGTTGTTGATAATAATCAATACTACCAGTAAGTAGAAGAAATACAACTACGGAAAACACTTATATAGGAATTGGTGCTGAAGATGTAACTAATTGAAAAATTGTAGCACGTACAAATAGAAAAGCTACCCAGAAGACTACAAATGGGAGGGTTATTGTAAATGCGACAACAAGCAATCACGATCTGATAAAGTTTGCAATAATGAAAATACAAAATCCTCAAGATTTTGAGACGAACCGCAGATCGATGCAGAAATAAAAAGAGGGCAGACAAAAATCTGGCTCTGCAAACTTATGCAGACCAATCTGCTTATTAAATCACCTTAGGAAAATTTTTAGAAAACTTCTGCGTGCAAAACATCGAAAACAGCATTTCCACAATATGCCTAGATCTATTTACAAAGATTTTAATGATAAATAAATACGTTTCCGGTTACTTTTCGATTTTTTTTCAAATATAAAAGTATATTTCTTTAAGGTTTGTTAATCACTCAAAGTACAACTTTACTGATAGTGATTATATTAGGATTAAAAGCTTTCTCTGAAACATCTTTGATTCTTGACAGTACACTTCTTGTGTTGTACATACTTAGATACTACAAATTGGGGTTATATGTGAGTGAGTATCAATTAACTCATAAAAAAAAACCTTGGATTATGTTCTTTTTTATAAAAAGGGTTAATGCATAGAGTTCCTGGTCAAATGAAGCTTAGAAATATATTTGGGAAAAATCTTTTAATATTAACAATCGTAATACACACGTTAGTATGTATTTGGATGAATTTAGGATGTTTAGAGGTAATTAAAATCTTCTTATTGCAATTCAAAATTTATTATGTCATTTTGAAGGAAACAAAAGTATGCGATATGAAATATGCAGGACCGGGTAGTTATTGGAACGATGGCGTACATGCTTATCTAATCAATATAGGCAAAAGCAAGAATCATATTCCAATATATCAATTAACACCGTTGCAAAATTATTTGATTTGTCTTTATTACATTATGGGCGGATTAACACATGTCGGGTAATTAATTTCTTCTTAATTTTTTATTCGTCCAAAAACATTTTTAGTGAAACTAATATATTATGTTAAAATAAAAGGTACGGTGGATCTTCATTGAAAAACTACAAAGAAGATATAGTTATGATTATTACTATGTTTTTATCTATGTTTATGATTGTCGGTCTTAAAGCTGCTGAACAAAGCAATTTTGTTATTTATGGAAAAACTCTTGAATTTAAAATGTTGACACGAAGACAATCGATGGCTGAAGAATTGGTAAGATTAATTTTAAAATTAAATTTTCAAATTTAAAAATAGTTTAGGTTTTGACTCGTAACAGCAGAAACATTATTTTATTTGTCCGAAAATATGGTTTTGCATTTACGTCTGATAAGTTATTAATGAGAAAATTCATTTTGAATGTATACGATCAACCGTCAACAGTATTTAAAGAAACTTTTTGTTGCAATGTTTCTATGTTGCTGTTTATCATTTATTATTTAAAAAAATAACCAGAAACCAGTTCTTGATCATAATCACAAGAATGCTGTTTTATACTATCTTGGGTTGGGTTGGATTGATTGGCTATTATTTTGGAAAAGTTTTGGACGTATCTGTGAAAATCTTATATTGTAAATATGTGAGACTTGGTAGAAATAGGATTTGAAGTGTAATAAGAGGATCCTTTAAAAAGAATTTAGTGGTAATCATCAAGGATTGGCTGGTAATATGATAGTTTCATCAATCTTTGCAATGATTGAAACGATGGCTAAAAAAAAATGGACATTCTTAATTTTTCAAATTTTCCTTCATATTTTCTTCCATTGATAAGCATCATCTGCTTATTTTGGGAGACATTCCATAAAATGTTAAGAAAAACTTGTAAGATTCGGGTTCAAAATTTCGTCTTGTGACGCATCAAAACGAAAACCCGATCTTGGTTTAGCAAGTTCAAGCAAGTTCTTGTTGACTTGTCAAAAGTTGTAAAAAGCCTAAAAACTTTAAATTTCCTCTTCTCATTCAAGTTATAGAAATTTCTTGAATAAATATTGCGTTTATGCGACTGAAAAGAACTATGCTAGTTCAATTTATTCAAAAAATGGGGTTGGTCGTTGTTTGTAGATTTGTTAAAGAGTGCAATCGTCATTTGGTGGAAATTATTTATCATGGAAAATCAATCGAAAATGTCGCAAGTAGACTTCAAGGTGAATATTGGGGTATGCTTGACGAAGGTACCTACGAATGATGTTCTGGTAAACTCGCTCCATCATACCTGATGTATCTGCAATCTGTCGTGCACCGACCAGAACTCATGTCACCCATGTCTGTCTCCTGTATACAGGAGTCTCATAAACCAAACTCTTATTACCACAGAGGAAAAAGTCTAATGCTGTCAAATTCGGTGATCGTGGAGGCCATGCGATTGAACCACCTCGACCCATCTTTGTCCACATCGTTAGTCTAGATATTCCCGCACATGAAGTGAAAACTAAGGGGTTGCTGAAACTATATGTCTTCACGAACGTTCAATGACACAGCATTCAACAGCACGTCCAATACTTGTTGTGGGAAGATCAAGTAGATGGGACTCGTTAGCCTGGATGGAAAAATGTGCGATCTAATCACATGACCATCCACACATTGATACCAAATCTGTGTTGCAAAACGTGTAGCATGAGGGTTTTCGTCTGCCTAAGTAAAATGACATTCATCTGTGAAGAGAATGCGCGGTGGAAATAATGGCTCGCTGATGCAGCGGTCCAGAAACTACGTACAGAAGTCAACGCGTGGTGCAAAATCGACTGGCAGTTGTTAATCCATCGTTTGTAGGTGGTAAGGATGTAGTTGTTGTATGTATGTATGTAGGAAAGCGGAGGGTATGCTTACGTATACAGCACCTAGGCCCCAACGGGCCCCTTATACGTCCTCCTACACTCTCTCCGGCTACATCAACCAGCCTAAGGAATTTTCGAAGGCTAGGATACAGCTCAGAGGTGTGTTCCTGATGCCATCTGTTGTCGGCCATTCCTCTCCGAAGTCTCTCATTCTGAGGTCTTGCAGAATGGGGCATTCACACAAGATGTGTCGGACCGTCTCCTCGCTCTCTTTACAGAGGCGACAGAGAGGACTAACAGCAAGCTTAAGGTTATAAAGGTGCTTATTTACCTTACAGTGACCCGTGACGAGTCCCGTTACAGTTCGTAGAGCGTTCCTACCAAGCCTTACGAAAGACAAGGCTGCCTCTGCTGAAGGATAATGTAACACTTCCTTAGACAGATGGCAGCCTTTAACTATATCCCACCAGTTCATAAACTTTTTGTGGGTAAAATCTTTAATTATCTCAATCTGAGTTGATAAGGATGGAGCGATTATCGGTTCAGGCGAACATGGCGCTCGCTTGGCAGCCCTTTTGGTAAGCCTATCAGCGTGCTTGTTACCTGAACAAGTCGAGTGTCCTTTTATCCATTGAAGTATAACACAGTTATGCACTGCGGCCTTCTCCAATGTTAGATGACAACCCATAACAAGTCCTGAAGTAATTGTTATTCTACTCAGGGCCAAAATGGCTTGTCTACTGTCAGTATAAATTGTAAAAGTCTTACCTACCAAGTTGGATCTGACAATAACGTCAGCGGCAAGTTATATGGCAATTAATTCCGCCTGTATGACAGTGGTACTTTTACCTAGAGGTTCAGATACACGTATCTGTCGGAGATCGTACGAGAAGACTCCGGCTCCAGCTCCTTCCCGTCTCTTTGAACCGTCAGTGTAGATTTTAAGGCTGTTTTTTACCTCTACTTCTGTGGAACTTGGGTGGGTGAGATATTTCTTCGTAAAAATGTGTTGGAGGGGTGTAATGTCCGTTACACAATCCAGAATTGGTGAGTATTCCACCATTTCGTTCCAGAGATTGGCATTTTTACTGTTTCTCTCATCCATTAGAATTCCTGCTGCTCGCAGTCGAATCATGGTCACCAATGCCACCTCTTGGATGAACAAATGAAGTGGCGTTAGGTTTAACATGTTTTCTATGTAACATACAAACACGCAAGTCTCTGTACTTTAATAAGTGCAGCAGTAGATGTAGACTGTAGGGTCTTTGACCACCATACTACTGCACCATATGTAAGCATAGGTCGGATTACAGCCATGTAAATCCAGAGGGCATTTTTGGGTGACAAACCCCATGTCTTACCTATAGCCCTTCGGCATTGACCGAATGCAACGCACGCTTTTTTAACTCTATTATCTAGGTGGGCTCTCCATGTCATTTTATTGTCAAGCGTGATGCCCAGATATTTAACTTCTTTTGACAATGCCAATGGAGTATTAGCAAGGGATGGCATTCTGGGCTTGCCAACCTTCCTCATCCGTGTGAAAAGAATCAACTCTGTCTTCTTAGGATTCACAGAGAGTCTTTGTTCGTCACACACGTAGTTGTTGTTCATGCAGAAGATTCCAGACGGTGCAGGGAGCAAAATCCATTGCACACGCAATTGCTCGTGTACTCGTTGATGCTTTTTTTTGCTCTTGGACCTCTTCCATTGTTTCTAGCTTCGCCATACAGAAGAATCATGTCGATGTATTCTGCAAACGTGTACTCTACCGTGTTGCTCTAACACTGAAAGAGACGTGAATGAGACTGACACCACCTGCAGGAGATGTCAATTGACACTACCTCATCCGACGAAAGCACCCTACGTCATGTAACTAAGCAAACCTGTTTTCAAACGGCTCTGGGACCTTGGTTCCAAATCAAAATATTATCTACTTAGTCCCCTTTACAAATCCTAGAAGTTTCTAATTGGAAATTTAGACGACCAAGCATACTAAATAATACATTTGTAATTTTCTAATTTCAATTTATAATTAAAATAAATACCATATTTTTGGGCGAAGAAATTTAAATTTCGAACGCAAATTCTTAATAATGTATTTATTTTTTTAAAGCGTAAAACAAAGTTTTTAAAACGTGATCATCGCAAAACTTTATTAAAATATTACAAAGATTTTTGGGAGATTGATAGAGCCGTAAAAACATCATCAATGCTTGATATAATTCCGAGATCGTTATTTGTCGATACCCAATTTGAAATGTTTTGGGTTTTCTTAAATAAATGTTATTTTTTGAGACATACCACGAATTCGTTTAAAAGGGCTGTTGCGGCAAATATTAAAGTGGAAGTGTTAGATAAAGGTTGCGTTTTGTATGATTACTCGAGAATTTGCGAAAACGTTTATTACGTTTCAAGAGGAAATATTGACATCTTATCCGGTGAAGATGGGAGTAGTTCTTTACTCACTTTGGGAAAAGGATCTTGTTTGGGACAGTTTCATTTATTACAAAGAACCGTGACCCGATTTAAAGTCATTATTGCATCGTATTCGGTGGTTTATATTTTGAATAAGAAAGATTTTTGGAAAGATGTGTACAAGTTTAGGAAATTAAATCTTGGTCCGAAAATTCATTCAAATTTTAAGGTAATATCTATAAAGATTTTTAACTTTTTTGTAATAAAATAAAATGTAGATGAAAATTAAGAAAGCCATTATTGCGAAAAATACAAAAAAACAAACGGATGTTGGAACAATGTTTCGAAGGTGGAGATGTATTGTAAGCAAAAAAGTCTTAACTGGGTTTAAAGATCAGATAAAAAGTCGCGTGGAAACGGTACAATTAGGTGTATCTCCGTTTGAAGATCCACAAAAGTTATACACTTATAGCAAGGTAAAAAATCTTTTTAAATTAAGCTAAAATTTATTGTTTAATTTTAGATGCACAGTCAAAAAAGTTATGATGAAATCTTTTTAAGCACGTCATTTCCTTGGATTTTCCAACAAAATTCCGTGTTTATTAGTATTTGGAATACAATCACGATAGGATTTGTTGTGTTTGTTTCGATTGTTTACCCATATCAAATTGCTTTCCAACCGGAGTTTAAGGTTATAGCTGAACATGTAGTTGCCGCAGTCTATATCCTCGATATAGTAATCCAACTATTTACCGCCATCGATAATAAATTTGAAATAATAAGAACAGTTGAGGAAATCGTCGCGCATCGCCTCGAAAAACCCAAATTCACCTTAGACGTATTAGCCGCTATCCCTTTATATTTAATCGCACCTTTTTCGAATTTAAAAGGAACTGCTAACCGTATTGCCCAAATTTTATGCGTAAACAAACTCCTTAAATTATACAGAATTGATGATATATTTAAAGAATTAGAACGGAACACTCAAAGTAACATTACCATTTTACGTTCGGTAAAGAATGTTTTGTATTTAAGCTATATTGGGTATTTCTGCGGATGTATTTATTATTTAGTGACGTGTTTTCAAGCGTAATTAATTAATTCGATTAATTCGATTTTCGTTAATAACGAATTGTTTTAGAACCGAATGTGATGAAGATAGTTGGATTCAATCTTTGTATAGATTGATGACGCGAAAACTTAACACAGATGACTTAAAATATATCGACGATCCAAGAAAACAACCCGATATGATTTCTTTCATGAACATGTTAATGGTTTTAAGTGGGACTACCACGGCTTTTGTTGGGAATTTGTTAGAAATTGGAGCGATGATTATCGTATCCGTAGTTGGAACGGTGATTTCAGTGTGTTTTTTTGCCGATTACGTCGCCAGTGTAACTTTATCAAACATTGAAGCGTAAGATAAAAAGATAGATTTAAAAAAATACACAAATTTATTTTTTTAAGTGTCGAATTTATGGAGTTTTTAAACGTTGCTAAAGCGTACATGACATTTACGAACATGCACGATGAATTAAAATCAAGAGTTATTCGATATTTCGAAAATGTTTGGGTAGTTAATAAAGGAAAAAGTGTAAAAGAATTATATTTTGATTGCCCAGCTCAGTTATACGCCATAAATCAAGTTGAAAGATATAAAGGATATTTATTACAAATGGATTTATTTAAAGTTATTTATTTAATTTTAATTTAAATAAAAAATTTATTTATTTTTTTTTAGTTTACTAATTCACAACTTCAAGATACAGTTGCTTCACGTTGCACAGAACTTTATTTACCACCTCACGAATATGTTATTTACGCCGGACAAAGTTGTTTAAACTGCTACATGGTCCTCAAAGGATATTGCGGGGTAAAAAAACTTAAAATCCCATAAACTAAATCATTTTTTTAAAGATTATAGAGGGATTATCGATTCAAAAAGTCGTTTCACCCGGAGACACTATTAATGCAATGGAAATTTTCGCCGGTTTACCAAGTTTGATAACAGTGCGAACTGAAACACATTGTATGCTTTTAAAGTTCGCTTTGGAAGATGTTAACGATTTGGTTAAATTGCATCCAAATTTTGCTAAAGAAATTTTTGATAGCATAGATAATGTGGTAAGAATATAAGAAGTTGATTAAAAAAAATTTAATATAACGTTTTATATTATTTTAAGGCTGTTGAAAGAATTTTTAGTCGTATTGGGGAAGCTCGAAAAAAACCAAAGGGTGTAACTGTTGAGGAAGAAGTTCGATCTTTTTACGTTGTCCCAAAACCGAAGAGGAATCCTTTAAATATCGATTATAGGAAAGGGTTTGTTGGACAGTGGAATTTTCTTAGGTACTTTTTAACATTTAAATAAATAAATTTTTAAACTAAAACTAGAATTAACACTAGCACTATCACTAGAACTAACTTGCTAGTAGTTTCCTTTTGTCGAACTCTATACTCTTAATCTTTTTGACAATGCTCTGCGACTGCAGACTATTGGATTTTATTCAGTCTCATGTTGTTTGATGCGGTACTCGATTTTACGTCCAGTTTGGCCAACGTGTCGGAAGAGCGTTCTTTATTTTGCTGACCGTACCGTATTGCACCACGATATCATTCTTCCTCAGACACATCGCAATCCTCTCCGTCACACCTGAAACATAATAAAGGCAGATAAAACCAGCTGCTGCAGTACTTGCCGAGTCTTTTTTCTGTTTGCGTGGCTCGGTTATGTCCCTCATCGTATAGCCGTTCTTCTGCAGAATCAAATCTTGTTGAAATCTTTCTTCTATCTTTAAGTTCTCTATCTGCATGCTGGAACAATGCTTGAATAATACAGCTAGTGACCAATACATCCAGGAATAGCAACTATTTTGCAGTTTCCGCTTCCATGATAAATTTAATCATGGAGTGTTGTGAGTTTAGGTCTAGAAATTCTTGGAGTCAGATGAGTTTCCAGATCATAAAAGTGTCAGCCACGTAACGGAGCCATAGCTTCGGTTTCCACAGACACTTCCTCTTTAAAAATATCCATGTAAAAAATGGCGATAACAGGTGATAGAGGTGATACCATGGCTAATCCTTCGTATTGCTCATGCAATTTTCCCTTTTAACTAAAATATATCGATGCTAGGCAGCCTTGGAACATACTTCGACAAGCTCTTTGAGATGAGTTTCTGGGGAAGACCATGCACGGCATCTTTGGCACTCTGGTGAATAGAGATTCCTCATTCATACTTCATATTCCTGATCAATGATGTGAGCTTGTAAATTACCAAAAAATAACCATACTAATTTATCGTAATTTATCGTAAAATACCAAAAATTAATTGCCGTAATTTACACAATGAATTACAATAAATTACCGTAATTTACTTGGTAAATAACGATATTATTTTGAGTAAACTATAGTTTTTTACGGTAAATATCGTATTTTACAACACTTGGCATATCAACCAAGTGGAATGGTGAGAAAGCGAACAAGTTATAACACGTGTATCGCCGACTCACAACGCACGCAGTTAGTCGTGCCTAGTGTCTCGTGTCGTGACTTTGTTAAAAAGTGATCATTATAGTCGATGCTTTTATAAAAACTAATGGAAAAACATACAAGTGTAAATTTTGTGAATAATCTTACGTCTTGAATGTGACAAGGATGTCTCAACACTTGGTACAAAAATATATACTATCCACCGAGATTTGAATATAGGCGAAAGAACATCACCTCCATTTGCTCCATTTTACTCATTGTCAGAGTCCGAAACAGAAACCCGCAGAAAATTCAAATAACAGTTCGCTCGAAGAAAGAACAATTTAGATAAATAAGAACATAATTGTATTTTATTTTTTGTATATTTATGTTCATATTTAATATTAAAATAAAAATATAATATATACCGGGTGTCCCTCAAAAGTGGCTCACCCCCATACATAATTGTATCTTGCGTATTGTCGATCTAACGACTCGACGTTATTCCTGCGGAGATATTTAGGTAATACAATTTTGTAACTCGATTTATTTTCCAATACCTCACGAGACCATACTGGTGTATTATACAGCTCATTTTTGATTTTGCCCCATAAAAAGAATCTAAAGGTGTGAGGTCAGGTGATCTGAGAGGTTTTAACCAAAATAAAGTAAACAATCCAAATTATAATGTACAATGGACATTGTAAGTTACTATCAGCTACAGAACATTTAGTGTAAAAGAACAAAAAATAAAGAAAAAAATAAAAAATAATTGAATTAAACTTAATTGTTTGATCGGGTTTTTCTTTTAAAACTAATTTAATACAACTGTTAATTTACACCATTATTAAAAAAGAACCACTGACTAAAGCATAGCAGTAATCACTGCTCGAGAAATAGCAAATCAAGAGGGACATAACGTAGTTTATACTATTAACCTAGCTACTATGCGTCAAAAGTTGTAATACATTTTCCGAAGGTACTAAAACGTTATAAAATAACGAAAATAATTTTTTTTCAAAAATTATAAGCGATCGTGAAAATTTTTTCAAGTAAAAGTTATGTGAAATTATACTATCAACCCAACTGAAGAAAAAAAAAATTATAGATTTAAAAAAATAGCGAAATTAGTACTCACATCCGGTATAACCGGAAGTACAAAAAGAATGATTTCATGTCGTAATAATCCGTTTTAGCGACCTAACTATGCATTCCAAATGGTTTTCTTATATCACCAATAATAAAGAAAAATATGGGGGTGAGCCACTTTTGAGGGACACCCGGTATAATAGGAGTATTAATTTTTTATTAATTTAATATTTAAAAATAAAATTATAACACGTTTTTATGATACAGATTTATTACCGTATAATTAAAATTCGTAATTAAAAGTCGTATATTAACACACTAAATTACGAAAAATAAAAATTACAGTAATTTAACATCACTGCTCCTGATTGATTCCATAAAATGTGTAAAATCTGACATATGATTCTGTTTTACCTGTGAAAGGAGACAGTATCTTGGCAAGGTGTTTTGCTAGCTTCCGATAGCTAAAAACGAACTGACTTCATTAAAGGGAGCGGGAGACCATCGGCTATCATATAGTTGCGGGAAGTATTACATTGGCCAAACTCGAGTGCCGCATTAAGAAACACGACAGTTTCAACAGTCGCAAAGCATTGTCAAAAGAGAGTGCAACAAAAGCAAAGTACTAGTAAGAAGCCGTATAATGTTGTTTCTGCATTATTTTATTTATTTCTTTATTCATTATTTTATTAGTGCTAGTACTAGTATTAGTTTTAGTTTAATTAATACCGGCAGTGAAAGCCGTACTTATATAAATAAATTGTATTAATATTTGTCTTTTTAGATATATTTTATTGAAACGAACGATTAACCCAAATGGACCATTTCATAAAAATTGGGAACTATTTAGAGCAATTTCAGCGGTTATACTTTCTCTCATAGGCCCAACATTTTTTATTCATACGGTTTACTTTCCATACGGGGCTTACCTTTTATATATTTTAATTGCTATTTCATTTTTCGATATGTAAGTAAGACTTCTTTGATTCCATTAATATAGTGTAACAGGTTTGAATGGATCATTGAGTATTATTGAAGCTGTGAAATTCAAAGATAGTAAGCCAAAAACCAACCAATAAAATCACAAGTAGTCATTGTTATGTTATATGTTCTATATTAAGTTCTTCGAATGAAACTCAAATCATCTTTTCAATTAATTTTTGTAAAATTACTACTTACCGTATCAGTCTATATTTGTTGATTTAAGTTTTGTTGAGTGTTGAGCAATTAATTAAGCACTATATCATTAAATAATCCCAGATAAAAAAGCAAATTGTGTCATCATGGTGGCAATGATGTTCCATTTAAAATTTTGAACACCCAGTGTAAGATAGATCAATGTAACTAAATAATGACGTTTCAGTTGAGATTATTTCAGAAGCAGCCGTAACTATAACAACACAGATATCACATGTTGGCTTCTCATTCAAAATTTTTGATATCTCCTGGTTTCTCAACTATTTTTAATAAACACAATATAAGGCTATTTTTGTCTAACTTGAGATAACTTATTAAAAAATATAATATTCAATTTAACCAAATGTCCATATTTCTATTGACGTTCCAATTGAAATCAAATATCGGCTAAATCTTCATTTTTTTCCTTTATAGAAAAATGACCCTATGATGCCTTTAGATCAACGACTGTAGAATCTAACAGGACTGCTACATCCATGTTGTGACAACGTGCTCGCACACTACGTCACACCATTTGCCACGCCCAATCAGCTGTTATTATGTTCTGTGCGTTTGCTGTGTATTTTTAGAGATTGTGTCGTTTATCGTAGACGTATTCATATTATTGTTGAAGTTTTATTTTTTTAGACGTATTAATGTCTATCATATAACCTCTACAAAAACAGCAAACGTATAGAACTCAATGACAGTTAACTGGGCGTGGCAAATAGTGTGACGTAGAGTGCGGGTAACCAACCCGTAATGGGCTACAAAATTACAATGGATGTAGCAGTACTGTTAGATTCTATTGTTCTTGCCTTTAGACCATATTCTACACCAAACAATCACTCATTTTGATCTTCACAATTATCCCATGTGGGTTTTATATACCCCAAATGAATCAATTTTGCTTGTTTTGAAAAGATGATTTTGTGGTAAAGATGGTCATCTTTCAATCAATAGTTGCCTAGATAAATTAGAGAAGCGAAAACGCGAATATGGCCAACTGCGTCAATTCTTAAACCGATTGGACTTTTTAGGCTTTTAGAACCAGGTCTCTGTGTAACATTCCTTGCACAAACCTGATCTTCAATTTTTGAGAAAGATGTCGGGTGGAAGTACAATTAGCAGTTACAGCATCAATGTTTTCCATTAAACGAACTAGACACCGATGCAGAACGTGTCTGTAGTCTATTAATATTCTAGTCGAAAGAAGTTTCTTCACAAACTTCTTCTCAAAAATGTGGTACATAAACGGCAATTGTTTCACTACTTTGAATTTAAGTTTTCAATATTTCTCAACAAACCAGTCATTCTTAACCATTGGCCAAACAACATTCCATAATAATTTGCTGTCTAGAATAATATCCGGATGTTTAAGTTGTTATGACAGGTTCAGTAATTTTTCGGTAACCGACTTTTCGCCGATGTGCAAAAAGAATTAACTTTGTCTTTTTGTGGTTTATCGACAAACTCTATCTGTTCGCAATTATAATCAGTGCTACCTGTCAAGTATTACTCCAACATGTTTTGCTCTGTCAATGATACTAAGATCATCAGCATAGCAGGCAGTAAACGTAAAAAAGTTGAGCAATTTGTGGAACAATAAATTTTTACAGTAGTTTTGACAGTTCACCTCCTTGAGGACATCTTCTCTTTTAAGGGTGCTAATTTAACGATACTTTATTTGAAAGCTCCGTGAATACTGCAAGATGTTATCTTTCTGACAAAGCGGGTTCGAGCATGTTCGAGTGCCATCAATCGGATCCAGTTATCTCATCGAGAAAAACAAATCACATAACCATGGTAACTCTGTATTCCCAAATATAGGAAATTAATGCCATGGTGTGCAATCTTACTACTATAAAAATGTAGACCCAGGTTTTAGTACCCTCACAATCCACTAGATGACGTTGTAGACTGAATTTGTAGCAATCTGCATTATCTACACAAACAAAGCGCTTGTAGCCATAGAAAAATTTATATGTAACGTCAAACTCAAAGGTGAAAGCAAACGTCACATTTTTGTTTTGTCGTTTGGTGTGATAACTGGTGATAACCCCAATATGTTTAACT